TTTAAACTTTTAATTTAAAAATGATAAAACTAAACAGCCTACAGTATTTTTAGTCTTTGTTTTACAGTTAAAATATATGTTTATCAAATAAAGTCTAAGGTTACAACTAATTATGGATCCCATTAAACAAAACTCTCAAAATGTATGAATTGGTTCTACATCTACAACAGATTAAGTTCTGGAGTTAGCACAGTTCAACATGGCTGCCACATCTAATCAACCTTAGCTCTAGCACCTCCAGTGTTTTACAGATATTGGGCTAACAGTTTGTGCGCAACACATAAGCTAAGTGTGACATTTGTCAATATTGTGTGATATTGCTCATCATGTTTGCAAGGTTTGAACTGAACAAAAACACTCAGATTTCTTAAATTTTGGTTTAAAGTGGGCAGGAAAGGCAGCAGGCGATATGCACCCCTTCAAGGAATGCTTAGCTTTAATTAGTTTTTTTGTTATTTAAAAAATTATTTACAAGCATACAGAGCCTAAACAAAAACATGTAAATATTAAATCATACTTGCTGTGGGAATCAAAGTTAAGGGGGGATTATGCAAAATCGACTTGTTTAAGCCCTTGGCATATTGCATTACTAAAGATATGCTGCCACCCTACATTATGGAAAAAGTGGATTTCAGTTCACAGCTTATTATTTTAATCTGTTAAGTTAAAGAATTGATTTTGAATTTTGTAAATATTATTTTACACCACAGGGTAACTGATTTACAGTTAACATGCAAGTGCAATTATCTATTAACTGTCATATTAATCATTATTAGCTAAATGCTACGATTAATTGTGTTTATTTATTTTTATGCTAACCTCGCCCAATCCTTGACTCTCTTATGGTAGCTACGTGGAGCTGCCTAAATGGTTGCTGGTACAAAGCACTGCCTATTTACACAAAGCTCCTCCCTGGAGCTCAGTCAGTAGCCGAGCTCCTGCCACACAGAGCACCCCTCCTCCCGAAGCATTGTTGTGAAGACGTGCTGAAGTGGGAGTGTCTGAAACGGTAGGAGGATCAGGAAGCCAGGCTATGAATCAAAGTCAAATTTATTTTTGTTATGTACAGCTTTTTCAGAACAGCTGAAGGTAAACATACTGTAGTTACTTGATTGTGGTATAGAATTGAATTACCGTATTTATTCAAGTATAAAATGTAAAATTTAATCCATAAAATCATCCATAAAGTTGGAGGGTAGAACTATACTCGGATAAATATTTAGACTTATGTATTTTAACTGAAATATCGGCTTCATTCGCAAAATGCCTGAGTCCGGAAATGAGACCACGACGTAAAAAGCAGTTGAAACGAGCTCACCTGTGACACTCCTCCATGCTTCAGAGCGAGATAGTAACAGATCCAAGCAGGTGACATGATGTGAAAAAAAGGGGGGAAAACAGTCCTGCAGCTCAGTAATGATAACAAACTAATGACATTAGCGTGTGTCTGGGCCGCTCCTGGAACAGCAACAAACACGTTCTTCTGTAATGGCTGCCGTCTACCGGTGTTCTGAAAAGGTTTGTATCCCTGAAAAACGTTTCCCCACCAGAGGGGGTGCTCGTGAGTAGGAAGTAATCTGCTTTTCCCCCAAAAGATGGTCCAAATCTCAGGTGAAGTCTCTGACTTTTGTGTTGGCGCATCCTGGTGGATTATGTGTAAAATGCCAGAATTCTGCTACAAAGCTCAAAGTTTGCTGATATGTATGTATATATATATGTGTGTTGTCAAAATACCTTTTAGTACATATGTTGTTAAAATAGAATGAACAGTGCAACGATCATTTTACTGAAATGTATAAAGACTGCAAAGGCTGAAAATCTTGAAGTCTGTATAAAATTGAAGGTAGTTTGAGGATTTAATTTTTTTATGCTTTTTAAGCTCAAAAGGTGGGGTGTCGTATTAAACATGAGGTCATATTATACATGAATAAATACGGTATGTGCCTGGAAAATATATAAACCCCACCTTGAAAGTCTTGTGTGAATCACTCAACTGAGGTCTGTCTCAAGGAAAAGTGCAGCTCTAAAAGTTCAGCTTTTATTTTATTATCTGTTCACTGTAAAATATTCAGCCCGTCAGTTGTTATGTAATTAACATTGTGAAAAAAACCCTGACAGCTAAAATGGAACCCATTAATCAAGTTTGAGAACAGCAGCCCCATAAAGCATTGAGCTAATGAATCAAGTTTATGCCCAAAATGTTAGTAAGGTTTTGCGAAGTTCATTTTTATAAAGGAAGTTGAGTGAGTGCTGACTCACAATTTAAGACGGCACACAAACCTATATTTAATTTAAAAAGAATAACGAGTTTGATCATTTTCTGTTTTATTTCCAACCCCTCTCTCGTACCACCTCATCATACTGCTTTTCTTACATTGTAGGAAATATAAGTCCAATACAGTCAGTGTTGTAAAATGTCGGGGAGTTCTTCTGCCAAACTTTGACCCGGCTGGAGATGTGCCAGAGGAGGGAGCCATGACAGGACTGACGGTGATGGACAGAGAGACTGGGAGGAGCGTGAACATCCCTCTTTCTGTCATAGAGAAAGAAATAGGTAAACTTTATCCAGCTGACTGATGTAATTGTTCCTGTGTTGCTACATTTGACTCAAATAAGCTTCATTTAACAGGGAGAAGAATGCAAGACTCTGAGCTCTCTGATGCTACATCTGCATCTTCACGAGTTAATCTGGACCTCATCACCTCGGATCAGTGTGCTCAGGTGTACCTGGAACAACTCTTTTCCAGTAAGGGACCCGTGGCAGAGCTGGAAAAATACTTTACCAAGGCCAGCCAAAGGCTGGAAAAGCAAAGAACTTGCATAAAAATTAAAAACGAGACGGGAAAGGGACAAAAGATTGAACAAAGTGAAGAAGTGTATCTTTCAGACCAGGCAGAGGGAATGACCGGATATCAAAAAATGGGGAAAACTGAAAGCAGAGACAATGGAACAAGAAATTACACAGAAGATGCAAGTTTAAAACTGAGCATCGTAGAGACACAACCAGAGGGAAGTCTCACTTAAATACACCACAGTTTATCACATGCATAAAAGAACAGGAAGTGAATGCTTCACTGAAAAGCAGCACTTGGAGCTTAGAGCGTTTTTGTTGCTCAGTTAGAAAATGATTTGTAAGCAGAGCGTTGAACTCAAGATGAAACATTTATTTAGATATCTGGAGACACCTCAAAGATATTACTTATTCTCGGTACAAAAGCAACAAATATGTCGAGGACATTTTTCTGCCAGGAATCATAAACACGCACATCTGAAGCCCGTTTGCTTTAACCTTTTTCAGGATTTTTTTCATTGCAAATTTGTGGAAATCATGTTCTGATTTAAAGATGTTTCAGCTTTTAATGAAACAGAATTTATCTTTGGAAGTTCAATCATTGCTGTGCCTTTTTTTATTTAATTTTTTTATGCAAGTGAATTTTATGATGATTAAATCACTTCCAAAACAAGCAACACTGATAAAAATAATTGATTACATTTGAGCTAGCTGGGTCTGCTTACTATTGATGAAGTGCCTTTTTTGTGTGAGGTGACTACTTTATTTTTATCCGTAATGATTAGTTCAACCTAAAGTGCCATCTAAATCCATTAGCATTTGCCATACGTTATGTATTGTTAGCCAGCACCTCTTGACAATAAAACAGTGTTATGCAGCAGCACGCTCGTCTTTTCAACAGCTTCCTGCCTTTTATGTTCATGTCTTGTGCTCCTGTCGAAAGGTCACAAACGCACCAACATGTCCCTTACCTGCTCAAGCTGTGGATGTAAAAGTAGGCTCTAAAAGGTGACATCCTGAGTGACATTCACAAGAGAGATGACACTTTTTTTCTTAAGTGCTTCTCACTTGGAAAGGTTGAAAGAAGAAAAAAAAATGACGACGCGCTCGGTCTCAGAACTGTGGTGTGCACAATGCAGCAAGTGGGCGAGCAGGACAGGAAGAAGCTCTTGTACAGCTGTAGGGCTGTCAGTGCAGGCAGGCGGAAGAGGGGAGACTGAGTGGATTTCTCTGTGAGTGTGTGTGTGTGCCAAGTGGAGAAAGATGTGATGATGTGAAGCATTCAGGCTTGTGGAAAACATCTTTGTGGGTATTTAACATGAAGATGATTAAAGGTGTGTGTGTGAGTTGCATCCAGAATAAGGAATAATGGTGACAGAAAGGGACACATATTTGTAAGGGTTATAGTTCCATTTATATGTCTGAGAATTCTTACTCTCTTTTAGAGTTTTTACATCTTATTTACCAACTTTACAATTTGAATTATTTTTAAAATACTCATAGACATTGTTAAGCATTATTGTGAAGATGTGCTGAAGTGGGAGTGTCTGAAACGGTAGGAGGTTCTTTAAGAGACAGAACCCAATTTCAAGGTGTTTAGATAGACTTTATTTGATACAAAGTTAAAATTATTTTTGATATAAATAGCATTTTTATAAAAACTGAAGGTAAAATAGTTACTTGATTGTAGTACAGAATTGAACTATGTGCCTGGAAAATACACAATACCTAGTCTTTAATATATTTTTCACACAATGTTTTTTAAACTGTGTCTAAATCTGTACATTTCTTTTGCTATCAAGTTATCGGTTTTCCACAAAACTTTACCTCAAAGTTCTAAAGCCTTTTGAGCAATTCACTTGTTAGTGTCCACCACTTGTTGTAAAGGTGGGCAATAATGTGTGTGTGTGTGTGTGTGTGTGTGTGTGTGTGTGTGTGTGTGTGTGTGTGTGTGTG